GTTCTCCTCAGGCAGCCCACAGGGCCTTCAAACCCACCTGACGATCGGCATAGAGAAATTTGGGCGCATGAGGCCACTAGGCCTGGGATGCCTTGCCCCCACCTAAGTTCACCAGTGCCACTTTGTTTTTCTATATATTTTGCAGAAGGCTGGGGATTTAGCTCAGTGGCACCATGCCTGCCTCACAAGCACAAGGTCCTGAGTTTGGTCCCCAGTACAAAAAAAAAAAAAAATTGTCATATATCTGTAGAGCGATTTGTGTTACAACTTCAATTTTTAAAATTAAGAGTTTAAAAATCACAAGCAGCTTTGCAACCTCACGGTTGACTTTCCCACTATTGCTAGCACGATCAACCCCCGCAGTTATCACCATCTCCAACATCAGGATATGACCGCACCCATTCCTCACCATACCCCTTAAACTACTGTGACACCATCCCCCCTTTGTCAGTGTGACACGGCCCCAGAATCAAGCAGAAGTGGTCATCTGCCATCTACTTGTCATTTCTGGCCCCCACCCTCGCCCTGCTCCATGCCCATTCCAAGATCATGTGACACAACCCCTTCCCTAAACTACCCTTTCCCTCTCCCACCTACAGGAGGGGCAGCCTGACTCTGCCTTCTTCCCTGCGGCAGCAGCCAGCAAGGGGAGCCAGAGGGGCAGAAGGACCCCCTCCTCAGGCTTGGCGCCCCACCCACCCAGCCGGTGGCTTGTCTGCCTTCCTGAGCTCATTAACTGCAGGTCACCATTCAGCAGGAAAGACAAGGCGTGGGTTCTGCGGGCGTTCATTAACCGTGAGAGGAACAGTGTGTGTGAAATTAGCAGTCACCTGAGGACCTCGATAATTTCATAATTAGGAGGCCTAATGGCTCTAGCTCTGGATGCCAAATAACTTAACCCCTTGCCTGCTGGGCCCCCAACTCCCAGCCCAAGGCTGCATGGGAAAGCTAGCATGCCCAGGCTCTGCAAAGGGATCCTCTCTAGAGCCAGTCACATTCATGTCTGCTACCCCAGCACCCAGCTCAGAGCTGGCAAGAAGGGGGCGTGAAGCACTTTACGGAATGAATGAACACATGAATGAACAGGTGTCCGGATAGGGAAAGAGCCCCTGATGCAGGTGCTCAAGGGAGGGAGGCTCTGGAAAGGGGTGAGGAAGGGCTCCCCATGTGCATGAAAAGGTGGGCGGCTGAACACATGCCTCTGCATGCAAGCACACATGCACGTGCGAGCAGGAGGGCACACACACGTGGATCTGGGACGCTGTCTAAAAAGAACGGTGTGTGTGCCTATGTCCAAGCTGCCATCTGTGAGCATATTCTGCCGCCTCCTGTCTCTGTGATGGAACCCAGGTGTCTCCCTCAATACCAGCCTCTCTTGGCACCACCTGAGTAATGGCAGCTCCAAAATGTCTGTACGGGGGAACTTGGGGGTGCTCTTGGCTGGGAAAGAGGTTCTAGGGAGCTTGCTTTGGATCTGCATTTGCATAGCAAGTGCACTGTTTTTACTTAGATTGAATATTTATTTGAGATTTGGGGAGACTAACACTAATAATGAGGGACTAAAGTTACACCCTTTAGCACAGGGGAAGCAGGTTCGGACGGTCTCTGAAGCCACCCTCCTCATGCGCGCGAGCGCGCGCACACACACACACACACACACACACACACACACTCGTTTCTGTCTGTCCTCCCTCCTCCCAACCTTCCCAGGAACCTAAGCAGGGGAAGTCTGAGGCTGGGGGAGAGGCAAGAACCCTGAGGGGGGTTCCCTGAGATGAGAACCCTGGGGAAACACTGGTTCTGAGCCTCCTGGACCCTGCCTAATCGTAGAGTGGGAGCTGGGAAGTGCTGAGCAGGGTGAGAGGGAAGGATTTAGGGAGGGAGAAAAGGAGATGAGAACAATAAAGGAATAGAGAGGGGAAAGGACGGGGATGAGAGAAGTAAGGGAGGAGAAAGGACGGGAAGTCTGAAGGAGGTGAGAGAGATGCGGGGCGGGGAGGGGAGAGAGGCTGACAGCATTATCAGCACTTAAAAAGCGAGCAGCTCAGTTCTTCTTTGGCACAAATAATGGCTTTTTATGAATAAATCATGTGTCAGACGCCTCCCAGGGAGTGGGCACGGAGGGGGGAGAGTCTGCTGGGCTCCAAGGCTGGCAGGGAAGGGCCAGAAGCAGACCCCCAGCGGAAGGGGTGTTGCCCCCTCTCTCCCGATGGGGCAGCAGGACTGAAGCTGTCTCGGGAATTATCACTGGCTAGAGCCCAGCCAGGCTCAATCGTTACTCTTAGGTGGTCTTGGGCTCCTTACCCATGAGCTGGGCTGGATCCCAGGGGCTGGAGTGTCCCTCTGGTACCCTCCCTCCAACAGACAGTAGAGCAGCCCAAAGGCGCTCCTGGCAGAGGACCAGCAGCCTGGTGATCCAGAGAGAGAGAGAGAGAGAGAGAGAGGAATGTGCCAAGCCAGGCAGGCACACCCAGAGAGAGAGGCGTGTGGTACACATGTGGGGACTCCGAGAGCAACTCACAGGCAGGCCTCCACAGTCCTACACATGCATGTGAGATGGATACACAGGCGTTCACACACACACGCTCAGCTATGTGCACACCTGACATGGAAACCTCAACCACCCCCCCCAGCACACTCACCAACACCCAACACACACACACGCCCACACACAGGCACCTATGGGGCTACATGGACACACACAGATCTGCACGTGTATACCAGCAGCCCACCCTCAGGCAGCATAGACTAGGGTCAGCTCTGCAGCCCATATGGAGCCCAGAAGCAGCTGGGCCAGCTCTGATAGTCTGGTGGTAGGCTGAGGCTGGAGCGTCTGTCCCAGGGGAGGGCCTGTCAGTCTCTGTGTGCTCCCCACTTTGCAGAGACACCCCACACCACAGCAGAGAGGTCTCAGCCCCCAACTGAGCCCAAGCGTGTGCAGATCCTGCTGGTTCAGGCCTCCTTTGCTTAGCCCTTATAAACCCCTCTTCAGAGGCAGGGGTGCTGAAGGAGATCTTGAGTTTTGAGGGCAGCCAGGGGCAGGGACTTTGGCTCAGCCTCTTGCTGGTAGTGTGACATCGAATAACGATTTCAATCATAGTTTTTGGTCTCTACTTTGAGTCAGGGTCTCACTGTATTCCAGGATGGCTTCTAACTTGCAGCAATCCTCCTGCTTCAGCCTCCTGAGTTTTGGGATTACAGGTGCATGCCCGCACAGTTTAATCTTAATCGCTCCTTAAACAAATCTACAAGACTGGTGCTACTGCTCTATCTCCCAGACCAAGAAAGTGAGGCTCTGAGAAAGGAGGATTGGGCATTCCTTTCTCAGACCCATTACATTCTTCCTCCAAACTCCACGGCTCCTCTGCATCCTGGTTCCCAGGTTGTCCCTTCTGGGGACACTGATGCATCCTTCTTCCTATACGAAAGGGTTCTAAGGTGTTCATCAGGGCAGAACTGCGTTCCTGACTCAGCCCTGTCACACAACCCCACCCCAGGCCATTCCCAGCACCCCTGTGACAACCTCCATGCTCCTGATCCTCTGACCTCCCTCTCCAGCCCAGATACCTTCTTAGGCTCTCTGCACCGCACCCCCGCAACAGACAGCTCCTGGCCACCATGTTGCCCAATGCCAGAGAATGCCATTCACACAGTAGAAAGGCTCCAGAACCTCCCTTCCTGCTCCCAAAACCCAAGGATTCCCATGGGATGTAACTAAAAATTGAGGCTGTCCAAAACTGGGCAGACCATTTCCCTAGGGCTCCTCCTTCCTGTTCCCCATTTGCTCAGACTCCTCTCCCGTACTCCTCGTGTGCAGTGCGTGTGACTCAACACCCCAAATCCATGTGAGCTCATCCTTCCAGCCTGTCTTCCTCTGTGCTCGTTTTCTGCACTATCACCATCAGCATCTCCGGCCTGGCCCTGCCTGTCTCCCACTGCTGCCCCTCCGGCCCACTTGCCTCCCTGCCACCAGCAGCACTCTTCCCACCTCTGAGCTTCAGCCACACTCCACTTGTTGTTCTGAAACCCACATGCTTTCTTGACTGGACCCTTGAACATGCCATTCCCTCTGTCTGAATTCCTCCCTTTCCAATGCCAATTCATCCCTCAAGGCTTAGCTGATACAGCACCCCTCCAAAGGCTGCCTCCCCCTTCAGTTCCTCAGCGGACTCCCAGCTCCTCCATTCATCACAGTTCTAACCCATAATCACCCACTCACCTACCAGTGCCCCCCACAAGCCTCTAAGTTTCTCAAGGGCGGAGATTGTGCTTACTCTGCTCTCTACAGCAGTCCCTGTGCCTAGTATAAGTGGTACTTAACAGGTGCTCACTCAATCTTCCTCGAAGGAACTGAGGAGTGCAGGACTTGCTCTGAGTACTCTGCGTACCTTTTTTCATTTACTTGAGATGGGTGCTTATACAGTATGCTATGGCATTGGCCAGGAAAACAGGCCACTGAGACTGAAGATGTGCCTGAGGTGACAACGCCGGGAAACAGGAGGGAACGGATTCCAAGAAAAGTCTGCACCTTTGAAAGCTTTTCTTTCCCCAATGCCACTCCACCTTCCCAAGGTATTTTTTTCTCTCTGCTTGTTTTCTCCTCCTGTACAATGGACACAAAAAACAGGGCACAAAATATACCCAGGATAGGGTCTGGCACAAAGAGAATTTTTGTAAATACAGGTGCCCCTCTTCCAACTTCTAAGGCTTAATTCAAGAGAGTTGTCCCAGGCCCAAAACTTCCTGCGCGCACGTGTTGAGAGAAACAGGTGCACAACTCCCAGGCACCATCTGCAGTCGTGCCAGGAACTCTGCAGGCCCTGTGCTGGGCTGCCTAACCCCAGCGAATGCGGACACACCGAGACATGGTCAAAAGGGCAGACCTGGTAAGGGAACCCTGCCCCCCAACAATCCCTGCCAATTATCCTCCTCCGCAGCTGCCCCCTACCCACTGCTAGCCCAAGGCACAGGAAATATTTAAAACAATTTTATTCATGAAAATATGCTGTACAATGCACTCTACACGGCCTCGACACGGCACACACGCACACGCACACGCTGACGGCACGGCCACGGTACACTGCCTACGATACGCGCCGGGGACGCCGCACCCACCGCCCGCCCCGACCAGACACTTATAAATATGGGAGAGGGCCAGCACTGGCACGGAGAAAAGGGCGTTGGACCGGGGCGGGGATCCGGAACTGAGACCCACTGGAAAGACTGAGACCAGCACTGGGACTGTGATGTGGCTGCCTGACCGGGGAAAGGGACACTAGGGTAGGTTAGGATGGAAGGGAGAGGCTGAACCGTGGGGGTGAGGGCAGCTGGCGAGCATAGGGTTGGAGTTGGATTGTTCAGGGTGGATGGCCAATAGATGTCAGCTTTCGGGTCGCTGACCTCGGGTAGTGAGACTAAGATTAGAGGGGAAAGGTCTGTTGGGGATCAAAGTTTGGGATGGGCTTCTCGTCCCAGTAACCACAAGGGTTGCGCAAATGAAACTGAAGACTCAGAAACGCCCCTGCCCCATCTCCCAGTTAGCTCCGTGGCCAGCATCCACAGCCAGACGGCCCCCTCCTCCACTGACCGAGCCCAGCTTTCAGCCTTCCCTCCCAGGGAGTAGAGACGCGTGGCTCCGGAGAGGGGCAGGAAGTTGTAGGGTGCCCCCGCCCCGGCCCCCCACTCCCCGCTGCGGTCAACCGAGGGCGGTCTCTAGCTCGGCTGGGCTGCCTCCTCCTGGATCCTCCCGCGGACTGGATCGGGAATGGGGACCCGGGGATCAGGATGGGAAGACAGAGGCCCCCTGGGGACGGGACTGGGGCACCGGTGGCAGCCCTCAGCCCGGCACCCAGCTCTGGTTAGGGGGCGGGGCCCCGGCCAGGCCGGGCGGTGGCGGAGGCAGCGCAGAGTCGAAGTTGAAGTCCATTTCATCGCTGTCCATAAAGTCGTTGAGGATGATGGACTCAACGTCGCACTCGAGGCTCCC